TCTAATTATATCTGCTTCCTTTTCCAACTGTTAACTTTATTTCTATATAGTCTGCAGTTCTGTCACTGTACTGCTGGATTTGAGGGACAGCAACTGTGTATACCTCAACTTTGAAGCTTCTGTACCATTCACCCATGTTTTTGAGATCTGTTTTCCTGAGACTGTACTAAACAGAAAGGTGACAGTTACCTCTAGATCTTGCAGAAATACTTCAGGAATGTGGGAAGGATTTGCGATTTTTTTGTTTCTATTTTGGGGGTTTTTTTGACCATCACTGTTCTTTAATGTCGAAGAGCTGTACTCTGGTCTGCACAGGGTTGATGTGCAGCCCTAGATTATCTAAGTACTTTCACCAGAAGATGTTGTCATTACTTGATGTATCTGACTTGGGAGTCTTAAGGCAGAAGCTGCCAGCAGGTGAGAATTTCTGAAAGTCCTCTACAGGTTTCATTTTACTTAACCTGTGCCTAGAGGACTAGTCCTTCTGAAGTAAATGTAGCATTTATTTTTTAATCATGGGAGGCCACCTCTGGGGGAGGTGCTGTCTGCCTTAAGTTTAGAGATCTTTCAGCTGACTCTTCAAGTGTCTCAACATAAGAATGGAAGAATTGAGAAACCACACTTAACAAGATGTAGAGTAAATTTGTATTCAGTGATTATATTGTATTACATCGCACTTCTAAAAAATACTGTCTGCATAGACTGTACAGCTTAGGGGAAAAAAAAAAAGTGGGGGGAAGGGTTGTTTTTGATACCAACTTCATGTGAACCCAGGTGAAATGTTATGTGTGACCCATGGTCAAACAGATATTTATTGCCATTAAAAATTCTGAATAACGATTTACAAAAAAGCAAACCAGAAAGAAGCTAGAACTGAAGTGAGGATCCCCTTGGCAAATCTATAGAGGTTTTGTGAAGATTATAGAGAAGAGTTCAGCAATTCAGAAGGCAAGTGAATGTATTCATGTGTGAATAATTGGTATTATAATAGTTTGAGTTATAGAAACTCAGTTCTATAAAGCAGGATTCCTCTGACAATAGTATTTCTGTGCCTCTGGCACAAATACTGCCAAAAGACTGGCTATCAATGGGTAGATTTCAGATGAGTAATTTTAAAAGAAGCAATTGAAAAGGTATTAAGGCATTAACTTGCAATTGTATATACTCTGGTAATTTTTTTTAACAAAGTTAACTCGGAGTTTTTCTGCTGTAAATAGCTATCCCATTCTGGTACTTACTGAAAACTTTAATGTGTCATGAATCATACTGACTATAAAATAAAAGAGAGTGGGATTCTGCTCTTGCTAGTTTACAGTCTTATATTAACATTCAGATAGAGGAGAGGGGACTCCAGGTTAAGTTTATTTTTTAGCATCAGTCCATTAACCCATTAGTTCCTGCCCATTAGCCCTTTAGTTTTCCATCAGTTTTACCCTCTGGTAGCTCCTTCCTTTTTGAATCATATACAGCTGTCTTGCAGGATTCAGGATAAATTTTACTTTTTCCTGCCTCATATGACAGCTTCTCAGGTCCATGTTATTCTCACAGTAGTGCCTTTTTCTTTCCAGTAAATATAAAGAGAATCAATCTAGGTGATGAAATCTTGTTCTGACTTCTACATTTGGTCGCATGGTTCCTTGCTCCATTAAACATTCCTCCTACTTGTACCACTCCCTTACTTTTACTGGGGGAAGTGGGCAGGACAGAAAGACAGACTGGTGGTGGTTTTTGTTTTTAAATGTTGTATTCCTTGCTCACCTTTTCACTCTTCCTAGAGGCTTGGCTGTCTGTATAAAAGAAAAATCTTAAAATTCTGGGTGCTAAGGATTTGAAACCAAAATTTCTTCTCATATCCCAAAAGACATTCCTTTGCAGTACAGCCTAGATGAGAACAAAAAGGTGTAGTTTTGAAGGGGCAGTTTGAATGTGAGGACTAGAAGTCTACTTTCAATATGATCAACAACAAAAAAACTGGTGAATGGGCTCAAATACATATTAGGTTGGGGGCTAAGAATCTCACTGAGGTCATGAAAATGATGTGGGCAGTTCTGTGTTAAATAAATTCAAATGAGAGGTTTAGGTGGATTTATGAAAGCCTGAGGAGACAAGGCTTCAGGGGCTGGGATGGAAGGGGCTGAAAGCAGGAAGGCTTTTATTTGAATGAGAGGGGGAAAAAAGTTGATTCTTAGAAGTATAAGGACAAAAAGAATCAGGATTTTCAAAGTGTGGGTCACCTGTTGGTTACAGGTCTGGGTGGCTCAGGTGATGATGGTACTGCCTTGATATAAGAACTGGTAAGAGTCTGGGAGGGAAAAACTTCAGCATTAACTGAGTTCTATTGACTAAATGTGGGTGAAACCCCAGAGTAGCTACATTATTGCTTTTGTCAGGACAAATACTATTAAATGTTAGGAGGGCACGTTCTGCAGTAGCTGGCAGTAAAATCCAACATGCACAATGTATGTTCAAATAGTACTGCATGAGAGAGAGGGTGAGCTGGACTTGCTGACTGTCATTTAGGAAGACTTGAAATTTAATGAAATGTGTAATACAAGGATTAATTCCATTTTACTTTAATGTGATTTCTCCCACACTTAGGAATTTTAGGAATGTACCTGTGTGTTTAGGCAAATTATGGGTTCTTATCCCAGGTGGAGCTCCCAGAATGAACAAAATGGATGCACTAGTAAAATGGGCATATTTAAAGTACAGTTCATTGATAGAATAAATGTCAAATGTATTTGACATGATATCTGAATCTTACAGCAGAGTCAGCCTAAAAAGCCAGAATCAGTGTATCTATAAAAATTTCAACGTTCTTATTAATTTATACACTTTAGAACATTTTAAGTTTCCTTTAAAAGACTTTTATTCCCCTTCTGTGTTTTATTTACCCATCTCTGGAGCTGACCTGAGGCTAAACCCATTGCCTAATAGGGAATTTTTTTTTTTTTTTGGCTGTAAGTTTACATCTCCCTGTTTAGTTTCAGACTTGCTGCTTCTGTTATTAATGAAAATCTCTTTCACAATCTAGGTGAAAGATTACAAGAGCTCCTGAAAAGTTATGTGAACAGGTTGTAGTTTGTCATCAATAAAACAGTTACACTGACTGTAGAAGCTGCTATCAAATCTAGAAAATAGCTGGAGAAAGGGGATTTTTTTTTTCCTCAAATATTACAGTCCTCCGTAAGGATTATTTGTAACAATAAATACATATTCCAAGTGAGACTGTTTTTATTGCAATGTGATTGTATCTTTACATAGCTTTAAAGCTAAAAGGTTAAGATTTATTCCTAATGTAGTGGTTAAAATACTTGCTTACATACACCACTTATGGGGAGGAAATTCTGAAGTACAACTGTGCTTCTCTGAGCTTCTGTGACTTAATTCTCAACACTTGTACCTGCATTGTGCTTGTATCTTCAAAGCAAGATCTTTGTAACTCAGTGTGAGGTTGGCAGACACAGATCTAGGATTTAATACCCCATAAATCAAAGCAACCTACAAATACCAAGAACATTACGGAGGTGCTCAACATAGGAGTTCATTTTGAAATTGAAGAAAATCTGTTAATCACTGGTAACTATTGGCTGTGATTTTCAATTATAATCACTTGGCTGCAAGTTCAGCAATTTTGCAAAAATATGAGCAGTCTGCATCATTACTTGAATTTGACTGTAGAAGTTTCAGTTTTTCCCAGTCTCTTCCTTAGTCTTCTGAGCTGTGTCTTGTTAGTGCTCTTGAAAGGGACATTGACAGTAGTATTAGGTATGAATGGTCTTCCTTCTGTATTTGCTGATCGTGTTGCAAATGTGCCCCCAAAGGTCTTTTAGATTGGTGTCTTAGTTATATCTCACTGCAAATAGGTTAGTAAAAAAAAAAAAAGAATGCCCTTTTTGAAAAAAGTTTATGATGTGACCTTTCAAAGGCACAGAAAGTACAAAGAAGAAACAGGAAAAATGAAAAACTAAGGATGCAGAAGTAACGAAAAAAGGATCACATGCCCATGTTGCTTCAAGTTGAGTTGCGTACTATGGAGGGAAGGCATGGGTGATGAGGCTAGTTTAAGGACCTGTGCTTCCCCTTCTGCTTACAGACTCATTGCATAAATGCAGATGTTTGTGAGGTCTTGCTGTAGACAGGGTTGCTGAATGGTCCGGGTCTAAAACAAAGATCCTCATTTTTTAAAACCACATTTTGTCAATGCAGTGAACTTGAGTACAGAGGTGGGAATGAATGGAAGGTTGAGGAGATTTAGCTGATTTAAACAGTGAGGATGTCTTTGAATTGACAATGGACGTAAATTGAAATGAGAGGTGCCGACTCTCAAAAAAAGGGCAAAAAGCCTTTTCGGTGTTACGACAATTATGCATTGGTACAGGATGCCCATGAAGGTCAATTAGTCTGCATCTATGAGGGTTTTCAGTACTTGGCTGGATAAAGCCCTGAGCGACCTAGTCTGCCCTCATAGCTGACCCTCTTTTGAGTAGTAGGTTGGACTAGAGAATTCCTGGTGTCCCTTCCAACCTGAATTATTCTATGAATCCGTGGATTGCACTTTCATTTGTTTCATTGTATAATGATTTCAAATCGCTGAGGTTCTAAAAAGGGAAAATGAGAATAACTGTCTTTAGAGTCTTCATTACCCAAACGAGAACGACTGACTGACTTCTACATCATTGCTTAGCTGTTTTCTTTTAGTGTTTTACCTACAAATGGGTACATATAAAATACATAAAGTAGGAAAGGCTAGCAAGTCTTCCTTGTTTCCATAGTTTAGAGTAGGAATTGTGTACACGACTGAGTGTTCCCTCCTTATACTTCTGAAAGTCCTTGGTATCTGTAATTTGCTCACATTGAAATCAACAGGCAGCTTGCTTTTTCCTTGAAATGTGAACACATTTGATTGCCTCACACACTACAGCATATTCTGATATCCTAGTCTGTTTACTGAGGGGTACCTGTGCATCTAAAAGTTTCTCTTTTTGATTATAATTCAGTTCGAATAAGGAGAAAATCAAGACGGCGCTCACAGTGGGGCAAAGGCATTATTAAGAAGAGGAAAGTCAATAATTTAAAGAAAGATGAAGATGATGCAAAGTTTGCTGATGATGAAAATCATGGAGAGGACAGTAAATTGCTGGAAAATGGAGAGCTAGAGATCAGCACTGACTGCATTGAGGAGAATGGGGAGGAAACAGGAGATCTCTCGATGACAAATGATGAATCCTCTTGTGATATTATGGATATAGATGCAGAGCAGAGGCTTAACAATGGGACATCAGGAAAGGAAAACAATTTTGCATCCACAGAAGAAGAGAGCTCAAATGAATCTCTGTTAATAACCGACAGTGTTACCCTGAGTGCTGAAAAGGAATTAAGGAGGGACTCTACATCGAAAGGGGACTGTGTGAATGGAGAGACATCTGTACACGGCTCAGAGGGTATGCCTGTCCCAGCATGTCATAATGGTAAAATGGAATCAGTTGATGCTGTTTCACCCTGTGACAACACCGATGGGTCTAGCAACAAGCAAAAACCTTCATCTGAAGATCAGCCAAAGGAGAAAACAGAAACTTCCAGTGAAAGTCAAGGAGCTGATCTAGTGAAAGCTGAGTTACCACATGGCAGCAATAATGAAAAAACACTACAGAGCACAGACATTGAAACTAAAGATGCTGAAGCAGATAAAGAAGGTATAGCTTGTTTTCAATGTTTCTGTCCTTATGTCAGTGCCCAAGTAAATACGTGTATATTTTTAATTGTAGTATCTTATGTTAGTTATTATTACGTAATACTTTATGAAGTGCTGTCTATTTATTTGAAACTTCTAGTATTCTTACAACATTTAATTCCACATAGATAAATTAGAAGTCCACCCTTGACTTGCTGTAGTGTTATCTTAGGCGAGTAACTCTATCTCCATACTTACACTATTCTGTTTATTTTTGTAGGCTTTATGGGAAATATTTTAAATACTGAGATAACATTTAACAATAATTAAAGATTTAAAAAATATTATGAATGAAGATAAATCTATGATATATGTTTTGGTCTAGATGTTCTATCTGATCTGTATTTTGATCTATGTGATTTTTTTTGACTTGTTTTGTTAGAAATTTATGCTAAAAGTATCATTGACATTGGATGAAAGACCATAGAAATGCAGAATGTATTCCTTTAGAAACATTTGCTCATAGTAAAAGTTAAAGCACTTTAACTCATAGCAAAAGCCAGATAAACCGTTGTTTATCTATCGGAGAAGGTATCTGGCTTTGGAGTTACAGTCAACAGAGTAACAGTGCAGCAAAAAGATAAGAGAAGAAGGGAAATCCTGGTGGTGCATAGAAGAAGGGGCCACGTCCTTTGAAGACAAGAGACATAGTTTCCTCAGGGAAGAGAAATAAAAGCCTTATGCATGATTGCCTTTTTAATTAACTTTTCAGAATTATCTGAAAGAATGCAATCTTTACTTCAAAAGTTAGCACTGAGATTTACAAAGTAAATGAGCTTTAATGAGAGATCTGAATTATGAGAATATCACTATATACATGTTGGCTGCGTTTGTACATACATACTTTCTCTGAGGGTAAGGAGAATAGTAGAAGAAAGGTCCTAAGAATATCAGAAGAGCATGATGCATGTTAAGAGCCTTTATATTTCTAAATTTAGTACTTGAATTTTGTATACATTAAGGATGGTTATAATAACAAGGGATCCTCAGAAAAAAAGGCATTTTAAATAGTTGAGGAGGAGAAAAACAGTGAATCAGTGTTGGGAGAGGATCAGGAGGTGTAAAAATATTTTGTTCTCCACAACAGGATTGGACAGCGGCTTTAATATAGAGGTCAAAGAAAACAGAAATGTGTCACAAAAACATGAAGTTTCAGGAGTAGAGCAGATGTTAGAATTACCGTGGTGATGAAGACATGGGATGCTTTGGAGAGAAAAATGAGATTTGTTTCACTTAGGCAGAAAGATTTTGAGCGTTAGCTTATATATCTGAACTTCACCAAGAAGCTGTATAATTTGACGTTGCTAAGTAGAAATGATACAATGGAAAAACTCTTTCAGTGACATTCAATTTTCTGTCGGGACTTTGGAGTTCAGTTTTAAAGATGACCAGTTTCATGTCTGGTTTCTGAACTTTGGTTTTGTGCACCTATAAACATGCAGAATTCTGCAAAGCTGATGAATAATGTGCACTGCCATAATCTTGCTTGCTTGGTTTGAAAAGAACCCAACAAACCAAACAAGGAAAATCAAACCAAAGTAAAGAAACAAGCTGTTCATTTTGAGAGACTGACAGTGCTGATAATTGTTTTTCAAATTACAGGTATATTCAAAAGCAAGAAAACACGAAAGGTTGCTATGGAACAGTCAAAGCCCACAAGTTTGGAGCAGGTCCCAGAGGAACCATCGGATCCCATACCCTCTGTAGTTGTTGACCATGACAGACTAAAGGTAATGGAACTGAAAAATGAGTTGAACTGTTAATGAAACTGTCCATGAAAAATGCTTCCTTCCTCTGTTATGAAGCAACATTTCCTTTATTTTTGACTACAAACAAATACTATAGCAGTAGTAACTTTTGGAGATGATTTGTCGATCAGTGTTTCTTGGATGAAAAGTTAATAAAATATTGAATCCTTACTGTCCCATCATTACTACCTTTACAAATCCAGTAATGGCACAGCAGTCCACTATTTTAATTGCAGTTTTTGCAGGTACTCTTATGTGTTAATTGGACATGCCAGTTACTGAGGAACTGCTGGGTGCCTAGTAATTATGAGTTAACATCATCTTTTCCCTTCCCATGTACATGTACTTGGTGGAAAGAACTGTTAGTGGATCGGAAAACAAATTGGAATTTGTGCTGATGTGTTGGTGCCATAGACTGAACCCCTGCTAATTTTCTTTCAGTTTTTGTCTCTTTTTAAGCAAAGTTACAATAAAATTTGCTGTCTTCTGTTGTAGAAAGTAGCTTGGCCTGCTATGAAATTTAGATCCCACTTGCTGTGGAGTACAGATTATAATCTCTTTGGAAACAATAGAAGTGTTATGAGAGGAAAAAAATTCTTAAAAATTACTATCTGCTACTATGTAAAGCACACACTTTCACCTTTTGTTTATGAGCAGTTTTACATGTGTTGTCCCCACTTCTTTTATTGTGTCATTTTTCAACATTTGTGGAATTCCAAATGTGTTTCCATTTGGTGGTATTTACAATTTCATGCCAATGCAAGTTCTTCAAAATGTCCGCTTTAGCTATCAAGGCAGTTTTTATGGTTTGCTTTGTCATAATTATTGACCAAGATGAAATAGGATGAAGTATCATTCAAACAGAACAAACATGGCTCCAGCTATACTGAGTATAAAATCTAAGACAAGAAAAAGTGTAGGGGTATAAGCAGAGAAGTGAAAAGAGACACTGAGTCCTTTTGAATCTGCATGGAAGCAGCGGCCTTACTGATAGCCGGCTGTCGTCTATATTATTTGTATGTGTCCCTCCAAAATAGGGCTTCAGGATGAGATTGCATTTCCGATTTGTCCTTAAAAAATAAAAAAAAAAGATTATAAAAACCCTCTTAACCTTACCTTTTGTTGTTCCAACAGAAACTGCTTGATTTGGTGGTTAAGAAAAGTGACAACCTGACTGTTGACCAGCTTGAGAGATTGTATTCACTCCTCAGTCAGTGCATCTATAGACATCGTAGAGACTATGACAAATCACAACTTATAGAGGTGATGTGGTACAGTTTCTTTTATTCTTTATCTGAATTTTGTGAGACTGGTTTTTCAAGAACTAAGTTAATCTATCAAATTATTTTTGTATTAGCAGGCAAAAGCTTTAATAGACTTTGAGGAAGGTATCTATAAAGAGAAAAATGTTTAGTGTAGTAATGACTTAAAAAACAGAGGTTGTTTCTAACAATACTTTCTCCAGAAAAGGATTAAGAATTTAACCTAAAAGAATGGAGGAAAAAGAGGAAAAAGAGGAAAGAATACAGCAACATGGAGAAGCACATGCTAGCGAAGTAAAAATGGAGTAGAAGCAGTTCCCACATTTGTGGTATGAATAACAGTGGACGTAGTGGCTCCTTTATAGGCACAGGGAGCCAACATTGTTGCGGTTGCCCTTACTTGCATTTGCGTAACTAGGCCAAAAAAAATTATGTACCTCTGCTCTGTGCAGTTTGCTGATTGTGACTTTCATACAAGACTTCAAAAGTTTGCAAACTTTCTCTAGATTGGTAAGTATACCCTTGGGAAAGTCCAGTACAGCATGATGTAAGGCAGTTGTCTGCTGTGCTGTTATCCTTTGCCTTTAAGGTGTTTGCTATCAAAGGCCTCCTGTCTACATCAACAGGCATAGGCTGATCATAACTCTGGATATGCATCCCCTCTAGCGTCATTGTTCTAGCTGTAGAGGGGTTTGGATGAGCTCAGTGATTCAACTGATAACCAACCCTGCTGAAAAAGGGGCAACAATTGCTAGTTTCCAGTTGGGTCCCTGAACACTAAGTATTTTTCTCCATGAATATTTTACAACAAAACCTGGAAAAGCCTTAGCATGGGATATTGTAGAGTTCCTGCAAAATACTTTTCAAACCACGTTTGTGCTATTCCTCTGCCATCTTTGCCTAAAAATATGTTGGGAGTCTGTGCCAAATGTTAGGTAGATTAAAAAGACATTTATCCAGCAGGAGTATGTGGAGACTGATCTTTACTTTGATTCTGCAAACTGTGCAGATACGTATTTACAGCTGGGTCACCCAGAGCATAAGTGTGTAGTAAGACTTGAATTCATTGCAATGCTTTCCTAATACATATTGAGTACGTTAATTATATAAGTGACCCTAATACACTTGGATTTTCTCATGGACTGTCATAGTGGAGTGCTTTTCTGCATTAATACTCCTTTAATTAGTTTCCTCTTTTACCATATTTTGCTAGCAGATAGCAGCTAATAAACAGAAGTGTCTATTTTCCTATTAATTATTTGTTCAGATAAAAAAAAGCCCAATAAATACGATTATGTAATGTAACTTTATTTCTGTCTCGGTATAGTTATGTATAATTGATGCTGTGTGTCTCTTGCAGGAGATGGAAAGAACAGTTCATGTGTTTGAAACATTCCTGTGAACTCGTCAAGATGGGTGGGTTTATCCTCTCAAACTGCTCATGGGAGAGCAGTCCTCTGAGCCATTCAGTTTCCATTTGCACCAAGTATGTGCAGAGCCTTGGTCTTAAGTGCTCTCTCTTTTTCTTTCTGTTGAATTTGGTGCTATTGTCTCAGGTACCTGAAACCAACCAGCCTACAAGAACCAAACGGAACTTCATATAGTTGTATCTGATATAAATAAAGAATACAATGCCACAGCTTGGAGATTTTTGGTGCTACAGAAACTGTTCTCACTTCTGCTCTTGTTCACTCTACATGCATTATCTTTGGGGAAACTTCAGGCAAAGTGGAGACCAACACAAACAGAGAACTGGAAAGAGCAGATCTAAGTTGAATATTTTTAAACAGGCGACCTTTTTAAATTTTTTTTTTCCAATTTTTCTCTTCTCTGGGGTAACGGACAAAAAAATCTGTTCTAAAGAAGGCAATGATGCATTGTGGTAGGAATCTTGAGTAACTGGATGTACAGTAATTTGAAGATGAGGCTCTCTAGAACTGCCTTTAATGTGCCTTTTAGTCAATTGAGAAAGATAAGGCTAATCAATTGGTTTGGATTATAGCAAATGGCAATGTTAGAAAGCTGTCTTCAGAATGAAGATCTCCAAAAGGATGATGTGTATTCTCTTCATTGGATGGCAACCAGTATTATGGTTCTATAATGCCTGTCTTACTCTACAGAACTAAACTAAGACACACTGAAAAAGCCACATACTTTACCAAAATGGTGAAATTACTTTTTCATTGGTATATATTTGTTTTAGAAACAAGTTACACAGTGAAACTCTTCTGTGTTGCTAAAAATGAAGCATTTTCCCACCATCTCCCTGTTTTCCATTTGAGTTCTTTAAGAAAACCAAGGTTAATACTGGCAGGTTTCTTTCTGAAGTTCCGTGTTTGTAATATAGCTTGGACTGTGCAGTGCAGGTAAGAAGACACTATAGTCGGTCAAAGTCCTGGAGCCCAAGCTCACTTGAAAATAAAACTTAAACTAGGCTTTACAGCTCGGTCTGTGCAAAGCACTGTTAATGTGGGGGGATTGGAGGACAGCCTTTTGACTTGATCTGTTCGGACCGAAGTTCTCTGGGTCTGAATTATGTAGTTCAAAACCTTTCCTTTCTGGCAACTGGAGAGAACAGTCTAGGCAGTTTCAAGAAAACCATGTTTTATCACAAGCTCAGTATTAAAACGTTACCTGGGCTGATTTATTTCAAACCTACGTGGAAAGTGTTTTAGAGAAGTTGGCTGGTGTTACCATCGTTCACCGTTCATTGTGACTGTCCCTACGTAGCTGCGGAAGTGTCTTTCCAGAAATATGCAACACAGTGTGATTAGTTTTTAATTAGAGAAAACAGTCTTGGACTACTGCAGAGATACTGAGCTACCTCAGCTTTTTGTATTTTAGTTACCAACAGTGTTTATGGAGGACTGTAATCACTCTGCTCCCATTTACAAACTGAAGCTAAGGTACTTGTCTCCACCTCTATGGCTAATCGTTAGTGTAGCGCTGCAGAGAAACAAAACATGGGCCTTGGGCTACTGCAGTAATCCAAAGTGCTTTGTATATTATGGTTAAACATAATTCTGTCTTAGATCTTTTTCTCCCCCGAATGCCACTGTTTTTCTTCATAGCTAATGGCAGAAAAAGGTTTTAAGCATTCGTGTACATCTAGTTACACCTTCTAAATGCAACCCATGCAGAAACACTGTATTTTTTAGGTGGGAAAGTGCGATTAAAAACAACAAAAACAAGCAGAAAACACATTTTAAATGAGATTCTTTGATCTCGGATTTGATTATGGGATTTTTTTCCATGTTTCGTTTAGTATTTATTAGCATCATACCTGTTTGAGATATTTTTGTGTCTGGTACATTAACAGCATTTTGTATTTTGATGGAAATTGTTACGAACTTTAAGATTTGATTAAATAAAATGTAGCAGATTTTTTGTAGCAAGTTTCTGATAAAAGGGTTTTTTGCAAGTCTCAGGTTCTTGCTGCAGAATTTTTTAAAAATATTTATTCCAGTTTCACTTACTCAAAGAAGTTTTTGTTCAAGTAACAGCAGCACTTGTGGAAGATAAAACTGCATACATTTATAAGAAGATAATAAATTTATATGAATTAAAACAGTTGAGAATTTTAGTCACCAGTGAGTGTGAAAAGCAAGTTTAAGCTAATACCTAGCATTAAAAATGGTTCTAAAAGGTCAGGTTTCTAAAGGAAAATTTTTACTGTCAGTTGTTGATTGGGAAAAATTGTAAGAGGCAACTTTACTAATTGAGGAGCTGCCATGTTGTTTTAGAGAAAAGTAGCTGATATCAGATGTTCTAGTGGACAGCTTACCTAAAATGATATACTCGCCTTCCTAGCCCAAATAACCACACTTCAGTTTTTGTTTTCCTTTACAGTTGTCTGGTGGTTATAGCGTTAAAACAGCTGTTAATCTATCCATGTGGTCTAAACTTGTTTACTCCTTGTATGTTTTTGAGTTTTTTGCCACATAGCACTGGCAAGAGTTTGTACAAATTGACCTCTCTTCCTTGTTTCTTGTTGTGAAAATTGCAAATAAACTCCTGTGTGAGTCCTTGTGCTGGGGTCAATGAGATGTGGCCGGCCAGAAGAAAGGAGGTTTCGGGGGGGGCTGGTGGGGCTGTCTTGGAGATAATAGAGTTGCTCTTGGGGGAAGTTGATGGCTATGGAGTTAATTGTATTTGCAAGCTTGACTCTCACCTGTGATTAATTTTTTTGTTTTGTTTTGTGTCCTCTGTATTGTTACTTGATTTCCTCATATGCCAATGTATTTATAGGATTACTGTTTTTTGTAATATCTTGTCTTCCTTTTTTTTTTTTTTTTTTTTATTTAATTTGGGGGGTTTCAAGAGCATCTGCTATCTAAGGAAAATGAAGAACTGCAAAGAAATCTAAAAATTCACATCTTTAAAAAATGAGAAAGATATAGCTTATGGACACATTAATTTTTTTTTTTTTTAATATTTTGTCTTCTTTTTTTTTTTTTTTTTTTTTAATTAAGTTGGTGGGTCAGCTCTGGTTTTACCTTCAGTCTCCTGAATGGCAGGTCCTGCAGCTGATAGTCATTTATTTTGTTTTTATTTTATTTTGTAATCACAACATAAGCTTGAATTTGGGCTTGTACTTGCATCTTTTGTATCTTGTACATTGGGTTATTTAGACATTGGGGAGTCCTGTTTGGTTTCATTAATGTGTGTCTACTTTGTGGATTAAGTAGACTTCCTTCATCAACTATGGTATATTTTGGATTCTATAGTTTTATTCAGAACTGTGTTTAAATTGATGTTTTGCATTTTGACTTCATTTTACGTTAGTTTGAAGTAAGTTATTTAATTTTTTTGAACTTCTGGAAATTTTGAACATTTTACTGTAATTTGTAATATAACTGCTGTGAAATACTTGAATAAAGATGACAAGAAAACACAGCTTTAGCTCCTTCAAAAATGTATTTAAAAGAAATGCTGCCTAATAGCCGATATCAGACTTTTTCTTACCAGACCTCCTTGATTTTGCAGTTCAGATGTTTTACTCTGGGATCTTGCTGTTTAGTTAACTCATAATTTTGCTTTCAGTGTTTGTCCATTAAAGAAGAAAAACCCTATTAATTTTGACTGACAAAGTGAAATGAGCATTGCACATTGGCAAGGGAATAACGTCGTTGACGAAGTTACTGTTTGTGTTAGAAAATGTTTTATGTTCAGTTGCAGGGTACCATCCAGGCCTGCTTAGAGTACACCAGCATCCAAGTAATACTGGATTTTCTCATTAGAGGTTTTCTAAGGAAACGCTCTCTTTCCTCCCTGTTCATCAAAGTTCTTCTTTTTTTTAAAAAAAAGATAAACTTCTAATATATCTAGGAATTCCTTTAGTTCCCCCCAATAATTCATGCATAGGAGAGCAAGCTGCTAGAGGTTATGCAAGTGAAGAATCAACCCGCATCTTACTCATTGGCAATTTATCCGGAGCTAACAAACTGCATGTGATGTATGCAATGTGGAACAGAGTAGGAGAAGCTGTTCTGTCGATCAGGTTACGGCCTCTCTTCAGGTGTAGGACATAGAAGGCATCTGCTCGTTCTCGTCTTTTCCTTTCTGTGTACCTTAAACTGTAGAGCTCCTGGGCAAAAGACTAGTTGAGGAAGAGGATAGTAGTAACTTATCTCACATCTGACTCCAATTCCGCTTGTATATGCGGCTTTGAAAGCACAATTAGATATTAAATAAAATATATAACATTATATAAATATAGTAATGTAGCAATTGATCAGTGAGAGCCTAGGCTCATCAACATGGTCAGAGGTGGTGGTCTGATCTGAGCAGCCGTGGAGATCCCGGCACCGCACTAACACCATCCGAGGGATGTGCGCTCTCTGAATAAGGAATGTGGGGTATGAGGTCTTGCGGATCTGTTTCTGTCTTTCAAGAGTGGTGGTGGCCATGTTAACGGAGAGAATTGTTTCAGGCCTGATTTCTGAGAGCGGCTGTAAAAATGCTCAGTCGAAAGGGACAGAACTGCGCTTTATTTGGGCATTGACAAAAGGATTCTTGTAAAAATACTTGGAGAACTTTGAGTGGTGCTTCGAAAGCATGCATTAGTGAGGAATAGTTGGATTGCATCACATGTTGTTAATAAAGCCTTAATAAAAGCTTCTGCAACACTGATTTGTCAAGTGTTCAGTGCTTAACGCTGCTTCCTTCTGCTGGTGGCTTCTGCTTTCAATGCAGTTTCCTGTATTTCCTTAAATTTGCAGTGTTGCACATCCTCTGTTTCCTCCTTTAAGCCCCTCAGATAATTTGTTTAAATGAATTAAAAATGAGATCCTTTTGTTCTGTATCTTGGGTAGGATTTGGATTTGGGCTTGTAATATATGGGGTTTTAAGCAAGCACTGCATGTGAATAAATTCTGCAAGCTAAATCAGTAAACTGATTAA